TATGTGTGTTTCTGAGAATAAATTTAAATCTTCACAAATTAAAACCGTTTACAGAGGATGTAAACGTCGTGATGATTATTGCTACAAATCATTGATTTGCTAACTGAAGCACGTTTGACCTCTGTTACTCTTATATCTGAAATACAATGGTTCTTTGAGTGTGAATATAATAGCCCTACCAACACTAATGGAAACATTCAGGCTGCTTGCATTCCACTGGCATTAACTGGGGGGTGATATATGCGGAATTAGCGGTATTACCGGTTCTGGGAAGACATTGCATTTTCATTACCAACTCTGGAGAGAATCCTGGACCGCCCTAAAAACAGGCCTGCTATTAGAGCACTTATTCTTACCCCAACTCGGGAATTGGCTGTTAATGTCCATAGTATGGTAAAAAAGCTTACACAACTTGTGACTGATATCAGATCCTGTTTGATTCTTGGTGGGTTTCCAGAGAAGGACCAACTTTCTGCTTTGCAATCAATGCCCGATATTGTTGTTGCAATTCCAGGGTGCATGATAGATCATATTCGCAATTCTATGTCCATTGATCTGGATGATCTTGCTGTTCTTATTCTTGATGAAGCAGACCGCCTTCTGGAACTTGGGTTCAGTAAATAAATTGGGGAACTGGTTAGATTTTGCCCTAAGCATAGGCAGACAATGTTATTCTCTACTGTGCCATGACTGAAAATGTTAATGAGCTTGTGAATCTTTCTTTGAATAACCTTGTGTGTCCATCAGCTGATCCATCTGTAAAACTAACCTTCACCATTGACAGAAGAGGTGGTTAGGATAGGACGAATGCGGGAAGCGAACCAGGAAGCCGTGCTTCTTGCCTTGTGCTCCAAAACATTCACATCTAAAGTGATTGTTTTCAGTGGAACAAAACAGGCTGCCCATAGGTTTAAGGTTTTGTTTTGTTTAGCTGGTTTCAAAGCTACTGAGCTACATGGATGCCAGACCCAAGTTCAGCGCCTGGATGCATTGGAGCTTTTCAGGAAAAACAAAGGTGGATTATTTGATGACAACAAAGCCTGGGGCTCGGGGACTTGACATTATTGGTGTTCAAAGTGTTATCAATTATGCGTGTCCTGAGGATCTCACGAGTTACATACATCAAGTAGGGCGTATAGCTAGAGATGGTAGAGAAGGTTATGCTGTTACATTTATCCGAGTTCATATTATTTTGATAAGTAACTTGTGTACTAATGATTTCAAGTGAGAGGACTTGCACAATGCTTGGTAGATTGAAGAGAACGAAAGAAAACTCCGGGCACTCCCCATGCAAAAATAACATGGGTGGACATATCGGTTTCAGTTTGGTCTGATTTAGTTTCAAACGGATTGGAAGAATGATTACCCAACAACACCATAATTTATTTCAGTTTGGTTCTGTCCTGTTCAGCTCGGATTTGTTATTTTGTGATGATATATTAAGATTTTATTGATATTTTTAGTTTGATTTGGTTTTATACGTCTCAGGAGAAATTCTACCAAACTCAAATAATCAAATATTATATGATTCAGTTTCGGTTGGGTTTAGCTATATTTGGTTAAATTGAGCCGATATGCCCACTCCTAAGTTATGTATAGCTACAAATGTTCATTGGTACAAATTCATGATGAATATATGTAACAAATCTTCTTGGTCTTTCAATCAAAAATGTATTGGTAAATTACATATTTTTTAAATAAAAAAATACATTGGGCATTTATATAATCGCGCATCGCGCGTGTGAAAACTAGTAAAGATTACAAAACTGGAAGATATTGAATCTGGCTTCACATTTCATGTCCCTAAAACTCCAGGAAATAAAACACTCACTGATCTATATGCTAATCACACCTATCCATACATAGATCAGTGACCAACTATATGTTCCCTCACCACCACATAATCAACCTTATCCTCATTCACATACCAAAGAACCTTCCTTACTTTAAAAATCCTAAATACTTTGTAACTAATAGTGCACTCATCACAAAATGTGTCCCATATAAATCCTATACAGGACAATTATCTAGGGTTCGATATTATATAAGAGGGCATTAAGGTTAATATGGCGCAGATCACCTCCTTCGCGTCGCTGAACACGGTGCTTGCTTCCAGTGTGCCGTTGAGTTCGCCGCCCGATGCTGCCTATGTCCGCGCAGCCCACCTTCTCTGCGTCGCTGACCACGATGCTTGCTTCAAGCGCGCTGTTGAGTTCGCCGTTTACTGCTGCAGACATATATTCTCATGGAGATCTTATTGTCAAAGATGTGCCTTCTAATCTTCCGATCACGGATATATATACTAAGAGTTTTTTTTGTTTGCAATTTCATTTTTTAAAAGACAACCTGCGCGTTGTATCTCCCGCACAGTTTGAGGGGGTGTAATAGACTAATATATTTAGGAATCTGCCTAATATATATTTAGGAATTTGCCTAATATCTATTTAGGAATACTTTGTATTTTGGCAACTCCTCTATTATAAATATATCTGTCAGAACTCCTATTGGAGTACCTCTTTCCCATTATTTCACAGTTACTTGTATTTTTATAATCAATCAAGTAGATTTGCTCTGTCAGAACGTTAAAATAGTCGACCTAGCCAAACTATCTGCTTGTATTTCAATATTGAAGTGTCATCAATATTAAAGAGTATTTAGCAGTGGTGTAGCTACACATAGAAGAATTGGGAGATTGGAATTTTGATGGTTTGTCAGAAATTTCATGGAGGAAGAACATTAATGGATATAGAAAGACAAATTGTCAATATAATGTTTCATCAACTGTAGTTATTTACCAAATTACGAAGAAGCACATAAAAGCATGTTCACTTCAAATTCGGTCTTTTCACTTAAAAGTGATTAAATTTAAGTATAAGATTGAGTTTGAAAACACATACGGAGTATTAAATTATATAAGAAGCACTTGCAATTTGCAAACACGGCCTTAGTGTTACTCTCCTTGTTTCATTTTAAGGTTTCTAGACAGCTCACACAGTACACTTACATAGTTGTAGTAATTTTAAAATTTTTGCGGTTGAATAGAGCTTCTTACATAGTTTCTAAATATCTATATCTAAATTATGAAAAATGATCTATACATCATCAGCAAATTTTAATTTTATTATTAGTCAATCAATGTAATCCGCACAAAGATCCTTGAATTGGAATGAAGGGAACATTTATTTACATAGGAACTAAAGTATGAATTTTATTAGTATAAATGGATTGTTGGTTCTCAAAATATATGAATGCAAATGAATAAAGTTGATGAGCGAATAGGAAAACTGAATTCAATTTAGCATCATGATACGGAGTATGTAACATCAAATCAAGAGCATATTTCAAAAAAGAAAGATTCACAATTTATCGAAAAAAGAAAGTCGACATAACCCAGTCGCCATACCGGCCATGACCCATGTTTATATGAAATGTAACTCGTGTGATTCGAGATGTAACTTCAAGTTAATTAAAACTAGATTCGCACCCGTGCGATGCACGGAACATAAATTTAATAATTATTAGTTATATTAGTTAATGTACAATAAAAGTTATAATATGAATATATTATTAAAATTAGTACAGCGTATCATAACAGTATAAATCTAATGTACAATAAAAAAATTATAATTCAGGAAAAGCTAAAAAAAATTAGAAAATATCATTATCATTAATCACATGTTAATGATAGCATTATTAAATTAAACATTTTTTTAAATATGATTATCGTAATTTTATTATATACAAAACTCCGTGGAAAATTTGGCAAACTTGCCGCCAAAAGATACGGAGCAAAAAAGGTCTTGAAGGGGTCAACCCGGTCTTGATTATCGTATTAAAACAATTTTTTATTTTTATTTTATAGTTTCTGTTTTTATTTTCGATTTATTGCAATTTTGACACTTTTTAATAGTTTAGGTGTGTAAATTGGACATTTTTATCGGGTTTTTAACCTTAAAAAAAGAAATAAAACTTTTCTTTTTATGGTTCGGGGTCTGAATTAGACCTTTTTTTAGGTTCATGAACTAAATTGAGACGACCGATAATGTGTTTACTATATTTGTATCAATTTCATGATGTGTGCATGATTGAATATTTTAATGTTCATGAGTGTGTGTTTACGTGTCTATATTTTTTTTTGGAAATATACGTGTCTATATATAAAAGTCAATTTTTTTGTAAATTCAAATTTCTTGCTATTCATTATACGGAGTAATATTTATTGCCTATATTTCACTAAATCTTATACTCCCTCCGTCCCTGAAAAACTTCTTACTTTCCTTATTTGGATGTCCCTAATTTAACTTCACATTTTCTTAAATGACAAATTATCCACATCAAAACAGTGCAAAACAGTGTCAAACAGTGTCAAAACAATTTCAAAACCGTAAAATCTACCCCTAGTAATAAATTTATTTTCTTAATTTGTGTGTAGGTCAAACCAGAAAGTTTTTTGGGGATGGAGAGAGTATATATTTGTATGATATATACATTCACACGTTTTGGATCTATCGATTTGGTGAAGAATTAAACGTTTAAGGCGTATTTGAATTTGAATATTTGATGGATATTGATGAAAGCAGTTGATTTTCCGGTAGTAAAGTAGATATGGATAGCATAACTGACATGAGCATATTGTTATTTCAAGAAAGTGAGATAGGCAGTATTTATACGTCATACGTTACACTATATATTCCTAATGTAAATATCTTCTCACTTCAAAATATTCTTATCATATTTTCAATAATTTTAAAAATAATACGTTATTATAACTACCTTTTTGGATTTATCTTTCATTCTATCACATTATTTCATTATCTTCTCATCATACCACAATAATAGATACCCGTATCTTCTTTCACTATTTTAATCTACCTGCTTTTTCAAATGGGAAAAGTCCCAAAGTTACGGAGGTAGTACATAAGTGATAACGGGCTACTTAATCTATCAGTTTGTATCTAAATTAACTATAGACTGTATTTTAAAAATTACAAATTACACACCGTCTCTCTCTGTATACTTGTGTTCCATACTTCCAAATCTTCCAGGGAGCCTGTCTTCCTTCCTACATGACCATTCTCTGCACTGTGATGGTTGTATAATTAAATGTCTGAGGCAGCATTTAAATTAAGTAAAAGGTTATGTAACCAAGGATTCAGAAGAGTCTATCTGATGTTGTGCTCTTTGAAGGTCATGTACCGAACTGGCGGAACTGCTATACTCCGTATTATTTATCCCGTACCGCACTTGTAATGTTCTGTAGTATTAAAATATCATTTCTGCCAAATATATACTGCGCATATGTTTATTTATTTTGTAAGTTGTTATAATAATATTGTAAATTGTTAATAAGCAAAAAAAATTATTATGCCACCTCTCTGAAGTCAAAATGATTTTGTGATTTTTTGAAACATAGTAAGCATCATTTTAAATATTGCTTTACACCTTGTTTTCGAAATGATCTTTTCTAATCATGCTCCTTAAAAAAGATTATTGAGTAATGAACACACTTTGAAATTGATACTATACAGTTCAGTATGGGCGTTATTTTTTTTTTTCAAAAACCGGTGTTTGTAATCGTTAATTAGTTACCCTAATGTTTGTAAAATGTAAAAGATCAGTTTATTGCTATCACTCCTCATAATGTTTCTGGATAAAATATACAGCACTTACTTCTTGGTCTGCAAGAAAGTTCTCATTTTCTGGCCTCCCTTGGAATGAAACAGCACCTCGTATCTCTTTCCTCTCTTACTTCGTAGAGGATTTTTTGTTATGGCTGACTGGTTGTAAAAGGTCCACTTTTATAGTATGAATTGCATAGTTGGCGTTTCATTCATCTTAATGTTGTACTCCTAATATCCAATGAATAATACGAAGTAGTGAACAACTACCAAGTACAAACCATTAAGTTTGTTTATTACTCTATATATGAGTAGACACGTGATAGGGCAAATCAGTATACATAGTCATTTGACCACCCATTAATGCCGATTGCAGAAATTTGAATTTCAAAGTGACTGATTTTGAATAAAGGATGCAGTATATCGTTTCCCAAGACGATGCAGAGATAAAATTACAACAGTGCCATATACCCATCGTTTACGCAACCTATGCAATTAGCGGTACGTACAATGCTGTCGAATCAGTAGTACTGACCATTAAAATGTGCATTGATTGCAGCTGGAGCTTATCCTTTTACCCGACCCGACCCATATCTAATCTGATGTTTTGGACGGGAAAATTGCCTAAAAATCCACCTCTTTTTATATATAGATAGATGTAAATTGCACTCATTCACATGTAACTTGTTTAAATGTAAATTATTTTTATTGAAATGTAACTTGGGTAACAAATTAGATGTAATTTGGATTTTTGTTGTGTACCTTGCGTAGCTGTGTGATGTAACTCGTGGTATGTCAAATGTAAATCCAGTATAATCAAGATGTAACTATTGAGAAAATTTGAAATGTAAACCGTGTGTTACAAATTGTAACTTTAGCTATGTAACTCCAATGTTTGGGGAGGAGATGATAGCTATTTTGCAACCGGGCACACCATCCTCATAGTGCGCCGGTTGCACGGTATAATTTGCAGATATAACCACATCAATTATTCTCAGAATAGAAACTAACAAGTAGAAAACTTTGACATGCCAAAAACTTTGAAAATAAAATTTGACATATGATCCACAGATTAAGACATAGTGAGTGTCAAAATATGACCATTCTTTTTGTGTCACTTGATAGTACAAGTGTGAATAGTCGAATAGATGTCAAAGATGCCTTTCTCTTAAACATTGTAGCCATTCCAACGAACTATAGTGTCATCATGTCAGGCCGGTCAGACCGGGAGAGCCGTCTGGCCAAGCCCTTTTGGCGACCTTCCCGGTGGAATTTTTTGATGAAATTTTTTGAGCATGTTCTTCATCAAGTCTAATTTGTCCATACCAAATTTCAGCTCAAAATTCGATCGGGAAGGTATTTAAATCTTTTTTTGAAGTTGATTGCGTCAAAATATACATATAAAAACGGGATCGGCCGGACGGAGGTTCCCGTCAGGCCGGCCTGACAAGAAGAGTTCTCTACGCCATTATATTATCATTATCAATGTTATCATAATCAAACAACAGTGTCGTATTGACTGCAAAATACATGTCACATTGATCCTCATTTCGTTGACATATAGATTGTGAAAGTACAAATAAAATGCTATAGAAGAAACTAATGTGCAAAATTTGACATCTCCACTACCGAATGTTAGAAATTATACAAATGTGAAAGTTTTTGAATAGACACATATTATTGGTTCTAAAGTGGGAATAAAACGTAAAGACTATTATACGGAGTAGTTACAAGTTGTCTGCGTTTTAGTTCTATAATAATAAAGGGCAATTACTTTTAGAACAAATAATAGCGAGAGTATAATTCAGTCAATCAAGTAGTTTCCTACATGGGAGCCAAGTAGCCAACCAATGTAATAGTTCATAGTTCATGGGATACAAGAGTAGCCAACAAATAATAGTTCATGTTAACAACAAATACCCTTATTTTGTCAATTTCAAGCCATATATCTCTAGAGACTAGGGATGTTTTCTTTTGGGCTGTTTTTGGTACTAGATAAGATCAGACCAAACTTAAACAAATTTGGGATGTTTCCTGGAATAATGCTAATTAAATAAATAATTCCCCAAATACTGTTGGATTAAAAATAATTCCCAAAATACTGTTGGAGTTAACCATGGTTAAATGCGCAGTACAAAAGCTGCCACTTGAAGTGGCGGCTCTTGTGTTTATGAATTCCTTGTAAATTCCCGTTCTTTACCGCAGTACTTTTCCTTACCTTCACCATCTTCGTTTTTATGCCTAAGTATTTAAACCATGTGCCTAAGAACCCTATCCTTCTTTTTCTTAATGAATTATTAATAGGTTTTAGGATTTCCCTTCTCCACAGACCCGCCACCATACTTTCAATCTTCACCTAATCATAAAGATTCTTTTTTTGTGTTTCTTTAATTCTATCGAATCTTACTAATACTACGTAATTGTTCATCCACAAAATATACCTTTAATCTTTTATTGTTTATATGTTTGTTTGTCATAGAGAGGGAGGGAGAAAGAGGATAGGGATGGAGGAGGGTGATGCTAGACGGGAAGAGGAGAAGTTGTTGGAGGGGTGGCGATATTGGATTTTGATATGCTTTGCTAGACGGTGGCATGGAGGCCCGTGGGGGAAGCTGATAAATTTGGAAGGCGAAGAGGAAGAAATGGGTGGGCATGAATACGAGATTAAATTCCTGCACATACCACTAAACGAAAAATATTTGCATCTAAAATTGCAGTCAATACAAGAGCCACCACTTGAAGTGGCGACTTTCCTTAAATGTAGTTAATCCCAACAGTATTTTGGGAATTATTTTTAACTCAGAAGTATTTTGAGAATTATTTATTTAATTAGCATTATTTCGGGGAAAAAGTCACTTTGAACAAACAAGTGCCGCTAATATTCCTCATTGAACATGAGGGGTGCGCTTGTTCCTATGCGAAACGACCAAGAACGGAGTGCTTCGTATAATGAAGGACCGGTCTTAAATTGACCCTTCCCTCTAATTTAAACTTATTAGCGACGAAGACAGTCACCAGCGTCCACAAGCCGCGCCGCCGTCCAGGGTCCTGCTTCGGCGTCTTCCTTCTGCGGTTGTCCGACTCCGACTCTTCCTCCAGTTCCAGACTTCCAGGTATACCGTATAATACTATTTTAGACTTTTTTTTTCACTTAAACATTGTATTATTTGGTAAAACATTGTTAATCTATTTGATTAAAAAATCCCCCAAGCACTGCGTGTCTGTTGGGGGTGAATCAGTGAGAAATGTCTTCCTCAAACGTTCTGCGGGAAATGCAACGCGACCTCGAGAGCAAAGCGAACGATCTTAGCCAAATTCAAAAAGGCAACGTTTTTCTTCCATTCAACTAAACCCTATTCTTAGTCTTGGTCTCTGTATATATGCATAATAAATTATGCGCTCCGTCTTTCAGATATAGCCAAGAACCATCAAGTCCGAAAGAAATACACCATTCAACTAGGTGAAAACGAGCTCGTCCTCAAGGTCAAATCTTTATGTACTCTATGCATTTTTTACTTCTCTGGAGACTATTGCTTATAGATTTTATTCTAACTTAGGAGTTGGATCTCTTGAATGAAGACGCCAATGTGTACAAACTGATTGGGCCAGTTCTGGTGAAGCAGGACCTGGCAGAGGCTAGCGCCAATGTCAAGAAGCGAATTGATTACATCTCAGCCGAATTGTATGTTAATTCATTTATGTCTGGTTTTTGTAGTGTATGGAGTATTAAACATATTGATCATGAACTGCTGTTTAAGCGCCTTTCTCCAAACATAGGCAGGCATCATTGTCTGTCTTACTGGGACAATCGATCAGTTCCGGTTGAACGTTCCCTGAGCATTCCTACCCCATGCTTGGTCTCCACACTTCAATTCCACCACCAAAAGAGGTCCGTCTGGACTTATGTTGAATGGCCATGACCAAATGCCTATCTTTAGGTAAAGACACAGAACCCACATCCTCCCATCGTTTTTGTCTTTGAATCCAGCTTTGTGCAAATTGAGTGGTAGAAAACTAGAAACTATCATTACAGATAAGTGAAGGGGTGGCCATGTTTGAGGTTTAGGGGGGGGGGGGGGGATTTGTGCGAACTACTTACCTGTAAAGCTTGGTGAGTTTTAGATTGGTCAATTTTCAGGCTGACTATGTAATTCAAGGATGGGTTGTTGGAGTAGTTTCTAAATTTTGGATTCATTTTTGCCTTTTTGGGCATGTCATGATACTCAATAAAATTTGTGCTTGGCTACCCGTTGCTTGCATGCTGTGGGGATTGAACACACTCACACACATACCTATTAGGATGTTTTTAGTTAGACTGGTTTCGGTCTAAGACTACACCGTATCTAAACAAAACAAATTAGACTTCAATAGCATGGAACACATAGACCAGACATCTACTGCACCAGTTCAGATCAGAACAGACCGGACCAAACCATAAAATTTTACCCTAATTAAAAACATCCGTATGGTGCATAAAACATATTGTTGGCTTATTCATTTCCTCCCACTTGAGCTCTGATCCCTGCATGCTCAGGTGGAATAAAGGTGGAATTGAATATAAATTTTGTGCCTCAGTGAGAGAAGAACATGTAGGGAGTAGGGGATAAAGAGTATTTCAAGTACCATATTTTGAGTTGTGGGAATAGAACCAAATAGAAATATTAACGTTTTTTATTGCTTTGTAACAATATGTGAATATTTGACATTACAACTAAAATGGCTCTAATAAAGAAACTCCACATTTGAGATTGGTGCACACATAATTGCAAACATTGGTGTAGCTTTGGTGGGCGTCAAACTGCCAAACACAGAAATTACTTTTTTTTCTCCATACTCATACAGAATGACAATTCCTTCTGGTGGAGTGGCGATTCCTTTCCACAAAGTTGGGGTCAAATGTTTTTTTTATTGCGATGGGAAAATGAGTTCCAGACAAACTACTTACTCCTTGGAGTTATGCTGGAATAATGTATTCTGCGAATGTTTACTCTTGCAACCAAATAGCCCATTAATGTTTGGCCTAACACAGCATTCTTGAAACATTATACTTGTAGACCAGAACACTGTGCTACTGCTACAACCTCAAACCTAAATGGGAGTAAAATAAATACATAAATAAATCATAGAGGCGTAGCCGCGTAGGTTTGGAATTCAAATTTGTTTGTGGTAAGCTGTGTTTATGATATATTTTAGGTGGTCTAACTGGTTTGTTTAGGCCTTGATAAAGTGATAAGGAGTAAACTTACTCTATTCTGAGGTTGATTATTGTTCTGATAATAATAAATAAAACATTGAGTAGTTCTATAGTTTATCCAATTATTGTACATCCTATTGAGCCTTCTTCAGATATAAAATGAGTTATATTTATATTCGAATGCTCATTCTTTCGGGATGCTAAATGAGTAGTTCGCTAAAAAAATACAAGAATACTAGAACGAAAAATTGCATTCAGATGGATAATATAATTTTCCCCAGATGTTTAGGTGGACCTGGCCTGGTGTCGGACCAGTTTTTAGCTTTAAAAAAAATGATAAAACAGGGACACGAACTGGTCTGAGAATACGGAGTTAAGGGAGCTGTAAAAATCGGCTGCTGGGCTGGTTTTTATATGTCCTGTCCCAATCTGGTTTTGGAATTGGGACCGGATCAACCTCTATAAACTAGCCATGTCCACATGTATTATATAATTTTCCCCTGATAGTAGAGCAGACCTGGTCCGGTTCCTGAATAGCCGATTCTTGTCCAATAGAGGCCTTACCCGTAACCATGACCAGTTTTTAGCTAAAATAAAAAGGCTACGACTAGAACATGTTCGAGTCGATTTCGGAGATACCGGAACTGTAAAAACAGGCTGCCGTCTGGTTTTTATCACTCCGGTCTTGATCTAGTTTCAGAACTGTGATCAAGTCCACACCTACCGGATATAGGATAGTGACAAGTATTTTCATTATGCAGGGGCGGAGCCAGAAAAGTGTGTGAGGGGGGTCGGAGTTTAATTATACACAGTATCAAAATGATCGATAATTATTATACAATATTTGAATTAAATGTTTCATATGTAGCTGAGATAAATGATAGTTTAATGAGCCCTTTTCAGTTTAATGTATTGATATATATGTCATCATCATCATCATTACCCCAGTGCCGCAAAGGCTCCCACCTACGGTGGGGTAAGGGGGGGGGTCAGATGTACACAGTCTTACCCCTGTACTAAAGCACAGAGAGACTGTTTCCGGATGACCCATGGCGAAAATCGCGTCGAAAATTGCATGAACTAACTGTTGCTTCATAAAAATGAAGCGCAAACAGTTTAGTGAGCCATTTTACTTTATTCCCTCATATTCCCAAGCCAAAAAATAGTAAGTCTTTGGCTCCATTGAATAAGGTGTTTTATTTTTAAATTTAAGAATATAATCAACGTCACACATCAAATTTTGCTTATTTCAAGTTAAGATGGTGCTGAGTTTTTCAGAAGTCGTAACTTTTTACTTGTAATGAGTTACATGATCCATAATATATCAAATTGAAGGTATTTCAGAGCTCTACATTCTTGAACTTACAGTGGGGTCGGCTGACCCCCCTGACCCCCCTTTGGCTCCGCCCCTGGCATTATGTGGTGGTTTTGTAGTTCATTTCACTATTTCAGTGCTACATTATTCTGATTAGCCTCTAGGCCCACTATATAAGCCCCCGTACTATACTGAAAAAGTCGATTAGGCCCTCGTACTTTACAAACACTCAATTAAGTCCTCGAACTATTAAAAAATGTTCAATTAAGCCCTTTCGGTCGGTAAGTAACCGGTTTCCTGGTTAAATGTAACCCGTTTCCCGGCAGCCGCCGTTGCTGGGGTTCGAGCACATCGCCGCCGTCGCCGCCGTTTAACCGGGAAACCGGTTACTTACCGACCAAAAGGGCTTAATTGAACGTTTTTTAATAGTTCGAGGACTTAATTGAGTGTTTGTAAAGTACGAGGGCCTAATCGACTTTTTCGGCATAGTACGGGGGCTTATTTGATAGTTTTCCCGTATATTTATTACGGAGTATTTTATTTAGTCCCTATACTACTGAGTTTGTTGACTAGATCCATCATCCATTTATTTACAACTACGTGAAAGTATGAAACTGTAAACTAGACATGTAAGCAGGCTAATGACGGTTCTTAATGGTCATGTTTACACTTTTACTTGAGTAGTACATGGATTAAGTTTACCAACCTCATGATGGAAGGACAATACTGAACAATTGAACTTCATACAAGGACTATTTAATTATACTTTGTATATTATAAAGTTGTTAAACATTTATTTACATCTGAGTTTTTAGCTTTCATCCTCACGAAACATCAAACATTAAAAGATCATGTGTAGTTTCAGTAATTGTTCGAGTATTTCTAACAGGAAGCGTTTGGATGCCACTCTTCAAGATTTAGAAGAAAAGCAGCACAGCAAGAAAGAAATGGTAACTTTGATATTTATGTTTCATGGCCTACATCTATAGTAAATGATTTATCAAGATCAATATGAACACAAAGGAATATATGGATAATGTCCATGACTCCATGCTAAACAGACTTAAGGAGTAGCATAAATTACATGCAGTGATTTTGAAATGACCTCAATAGCATAAATTACTTGCAGTGATTTTGTGTGTCATTTACCCGCTGTGTACTCAATAGCATAAAGAGTAGCCATTGTAACAAATAATGATGCGTTTGGAACTGTTACTTCCCTGCAGATCTTTAAATTACAACAGAGAATTCAATCCTCCCAGGCAGGAAAGGTCAAAGCTTAATGTACATGAATGTGATGTCTCTCAGCGGTGCAAAGTGATGTGATCTGTGTTTTTTTTTTTTTTGAGAATTTCAAAAGTTTGTGGAGCCTCAGTGTGGGAGTTTATTGTGGTTTTCGTTTTGTGGAACAAAAAAGCAGTTCTAGATAATCTTTTTAGATAATCTGTTCTTGAATGAATCACTCATTTTAATTTTTGGGATAATATTATGGAAGTATAAGTTCATGAAATTGTGTGTTTAAGCATTGGTATTGGAAAAGTAGTTATAGAGAAAAAGTAACAGTCCAGGGAGACCAATATACTCTGGGCTGACATTTATTTTCAGAAAAATGTTTGGTGTGCACATTTTGGTGTACATTTTTTGTACATTTGTCTGTCTCACGCACACAGAATTATCTGTACAACTTTACCAAAAAGTGTACACCTAGCAAAACTGCAATTTTTAAGACAAATTGATGCTTGATTTTTTTAGCAAGAAGCGTTGCTATTTCAAAAGAAAACCAGACGTTACCTGCAGACGTGCAGAACGATCAGGTGCTTGTTCTTTTAGAGTTTAGACGAATATAAGGCCCCGTTTATTAAATCTGATTTTTTCTTTTGATTCTTATTTATGGATCAGATTGTCTATAATTCCTATAAACATTAATTGGTTTGACTATAGTAGTTGAACCAATCAATAAAGAGATTTTGTATATTGCAATATGCAACCCTCTGTTTTGATATCTTTTATTTGGTAGATGAAAATAAATTATAATTCATGAGACCTTAAAATTTAAAACTGTCTTCTTTAAGAGAATTAAATAATTTCAAATTGCATAAATGGACAGGTCATATATTTCCTAAATTTATTATAGCATATACGTAGTAAAGGTTTTAACCCGACTCTGTTGACCCCTTGAGTCCCCTTGACCCCTTGACTTGAAAAATAGCTCTTGCACAGTTGCATGACAATTTTTTATCATTATCATGCTCTTAGATATTGTTATATACTCAGCCTAGTGCTGGACTCGGGCCGGTTCGGGCCTGGGCCCGGCCGGGCCTCGGGCCAGGAAAGGGAGGCCTGAGCCCGAACCGCCGGTGGCCGGTTCCAGTCCCGGTTCCGGGCCAAACCGGGCCGGTCCGGGCCGGGTCGAACCGGCCCAATTAATTTTTTTTTTGTTCTCCTATTTAATCCCCTACCCCTCCCCCTCAACCCCAAACCATCCCAAACCAAACCACCTCAAATGGCCCAAAATACCTAATCCAACCTAAAACTTAAAAAAATTTCAAAAAAAAAAAAAGTTAAAATCCGGCTCGGACCGGGCCCGAACCGGCCGGGCCGGTTCACCAAAACCTGGGCCCGGGCCCGAACCGCGCCAGCAGCCGGGCCGGGCCGAACCGAACCGAGGGACCCACCGGGCCCCGGGCCGGGCCGGGCCAAACAGTAATCGGGCCGGTTCTGGGCCCTTATAAGTAGTACGGTAGTACCCTTATACGGAGTATTTTACACGACAGTACACATATTGCTGGAAATTCCGTACACTCGCATAATTTAAAAAACACAGATTTGTTTATTATCATTACTAGTATTGCACCCGTGCGATGCACGGGACAAAAATGATTTTATATACTCTGTATTATGTGTAAGATAATACAAATCAAAATTTCAAACTAAGATACACATAGTATTTGTTTTAGAAATAGTATAATATATGTATGATACAATAAAGGCCTACACATATAAGTCACAAAATTAGTATATTATAAGGAATATATATATAAGGTAAATTAAATGATAAAATAATTTGGTTTGGTGGTCCACCATGTAGTGTACACATTCACAAAATTATTAAAGAGCATCAAATGTTTAGTTTTACTAAAGAAAATTTAATTTGTTAAAATGAACAACATGATAAAACTTTAGAGACCGCATTCTTACAATTCATGACAGATGTCTTTAAAGAATTTTATTGTAATTTTTTGTGCTTGATAGTTCAAATATTAATATTGTTAATTTGTTATGAGCACATATTTTCAGCATAACATTACTTATGATCGGTCCAGGCCCTTATATACATCAGCGTGATCAGCCCTATTACTACACATAAACTGATGATCGGCATGTTTAGTATGTATGTACTTGGTATATGTTTACCGCAAAGCCCACATCATTTAATTGGGAAGCCTCTAGTCAGTGGTCACCTCTCATCTCCACTCACCCCCTCACCGTCTACACAAGTTTCCCCCTCATCGTCCGTCGTCACTCGTCACCCTCCCCGTCCAAATAAAAACAGGCTGGTATGTATGTTTCCCTTCACGGCTTCGCTTCCCCGTCCAATAGCATATCATCTTGATTGACAAATCATCTCTATCAAACCGATCTATCCACTTCCCGTTAGACCGTACACGACCAGCATACTGAATCTTCATGAGGTTTGCTGTTTTGTGTTTACTTTAATATCAAATTCCCTAATTTTTTCGAAGTCAAGCTTAATTTGTGTCCTAAATAATTCATTTATTGTTTGCGTTGTTAATTGATAAACGAAACATATGAATCTTTGAGGAGTGTGTATGATGTTCGTTGTTTTTTCTTTTTTTAGTTGCTGATTTGGTGATTACGTTCCAATTGTATAGGGGATTAGTGTATTTTAATCATATTTTCTGTGCTCTCTATTTCTTTTCTCTGTCATATAATCACAGCAAAACATATACTCATTGCTTTGCTCGATATGTATTCGTCTAGGGTTGATAGACAACAAATGTACAAAACTATGTATCTAATCTACTTCTTGTGTGGCTGTAATTTTAAATTTTCGAACCAATTTTAAAAATACATTTAAAAATTAAAGAATAAAGTATCTATTATATCTAACATAAAGCTCAAAGTATCAATTTCAATCCTTTTAGCTATTTCTGCTTTAAAAAAAAGTAACTCGTGTATTGCATTTTTTTAATCTCAAATTATCTGTGCTTTTTAGAAAGCAAGCTGATAAGACAAATTTATTGGCGTCCAAATGCACTCTAAAATGGGTGTAAATGATAATTTTGCTGAAATGATTCAATAATCTACTCAATTTTTTTTTAAAAAACATTTTGTAACATCCGTTTAAGTCATTTACATAAGTCAAAAAGCTACCTAATTTGTTATTGATAAGAAGAATGAGCCATAACTGGCTACCCAGTAGTCAGTAAGGTCTCCCTGTCTTGGTGTAGGAAAAGCATAAATATGCTTTTTTTATTTGAATGCTCACTACTGTTAAATTTCAAATACATGTGTGAAATGGTGTGTTGTTATTGTAAATATTAACTTGCTTGCCATGTCTATTAAAGATTTCATATGTGAAGTAAAATCTTCCATTAACATCCATTCAAATGTTAATTTCAAAGTGTGTTATGCATATGTAATATGATGCTTGCTTGTTTTTTAAATACATGTAATTTCTTGCAGCCACTCCATGCAAATAAAGTTGAGGTTGAGGATCGTGAAAACTTGTGTTTGTCTTATGTCTACAGGGGGGTCGATTTCCAGGAAGTTGGTGTGTTTTGCCTTTATCCTTCTAACGGGAAGGGGCATTATGTTATGTACTAAATTATTGATGTAAGACCATTATAAGTTGAGGTAAGCTGCTAAACTTCATCCTTATTTCCCTTAAGGTCAATTGGTGATTGGAAATAATAAAATAAGTCATAATTGTAATTATTTCCTTTAGTTGTTTATATCATATAAAGATTAAGATATATAAACACACTTAAAAAGGGAATCCTGGCCTTATTAAATTTTCTCTTGTTTTTTATTTCTCACATGCGACCTGAAAAGCACGAACCTGACTTAAAATAAAATTAAGATTATTATATCATAAGTAAAAAAAAAGCTTTTGACCCGTGCAAACATGGATTTAATAAGTTGAGGTAGCCTCCTTGATTTCACATCCACTTTATATCTGCATTTAGCTATTCATATATATATATATATTAATATTAATAAACGTAAAAATACAAAAAAAAAAGGGATTCAAACCTATTTTAATTTTTTCAGTTTTCAAAGGCAAAGCTAATCTCAAGTTTAGCTTACTTATGGGTTGCAATGATATACTCTGGTTTATCATTTTGGTCCTTATATCACTTCAGGTATGAACGCAGAAGCTTCACATACTCGTAGTGCCCAATCTATCCTGGTATGCAGCTCCTGAATCGTATTGAACACAAGCTTCACAACTGCAGAACACACACTATAGCAGTCAATTTGTATATCAAGTTCTGAATAAATATGAAATGAAAATACAATGATGAATGAAACTTGTGGAAGTTGACAACAATACGTACAAAAGAAATTTTGTGGTGCACTGGATTCACATATGCAACAGGGTATTTATACTCTCGTGGGTCTGTTGTGTAAACCGTATTATTACAGTTGTGTATGTAGGTGCATATCATGCAAGTTGTGTAAACTGTAAAATTGTAACCGTTGTGCAAGTTGTGTAAATTGTAAAATATTAACCGCTATTGGATGCTGCGTGAAACCATAAATTAAAGTGCCATGTGTTAGAATCTAAGAACTTCCAGGTTTAGTGGCACGTGTGATGTAGTTTAAATATAACAGGTTACATGTTTTAATTTTACAACAGGTGTCAGTTGTGAACCAATAAATATTTGCCATGTGTCCATTAAAACTTCCAGGGATGGACAGGGCGTACTCACGATCCTGCTTTTATATATATAAAGATTTCTGTCATATAATCCTCATTACTACTTTAAAAAATCCCAATCATTTATGTTGAATTATAGTAACAATTACAATGACTACTTCACTAACGTTATTATGTTCAATTTTACACTAATCCCAAAGGCATATTCATAACATATTTAGTCATGTTTTTATTAATAAGTTTCATCCTAGGAAACTCCTCTTATCTAAAGCAACATTCCTTGATTAAACAATGAATGTGAGATGTTTCAACCAAATCAATATTTAACTGTTTTCAATCACAAGATCATCTTTTGATCATACAAGACATTTTAAATTCACAAAAAAAAACTTGGTGTGCACATTTTTGTGTAAACTTTTTGTACATTCATCTGTCTCATGCAGACAAAATTGTCTGTGGACATACATTTTTTGTGCGTGAGACAGAAGAATGTACGAAAGGTGTACACCAAAATGTGTACATCTAGCACAACTCTAAATTCACTCCCACCAAACAAATAGGCTTTAAAATGCAATTTTCTCATAAATACTCCAACGAAACTATTCCATTCTGTGTAGTCCTGGACTCGGGCCGGTTCGGGCCCGGTT